CTCGTTGTTACAGGAACAATTGTGTCGAAATGATCTAGCCATATCCTACGTAACAGGAAGCTGTGTGTCGAACTTCTCTGGCTTTACTCTCTGCTACAGGATGCAATGAATGGAACTGCTTTAGCACTACTCGCTGTTACAGGAACAAGTGTGTCCAAATGATCTAGCCCTACCCTACGTTACAGGAAGCTGTGTGTCGAAATGAGCCAGCCCTACTCGCAGTTACAGGAACAAGTGTGTCGAAATGATCTAGCCCTATCCGATGTTACAGGAACAAGTGCGTCGAAATGATCTAGCCCCATCCAAAGTTACAGGACGCGGTGTGTCGAAATGAGCCAGCCCTACTCGCAGTTACAGGAACAAGTGTGTCGAAATGATCTAGCCCTATCCGATGTTACAGGAACAAGTGTGTCGAAATGATCTAGCCCCATCCAACGTTACAGGAAGCTGTGTGTCGAAATGAGCCAGCCCTACTCACAGTTACAGGAACAAGTGCGTCGAAATGATCTAGCCCCATCCAACGTTACAGGAAGCTGTGTGTGGAACTTCTCTAGCTCTACTCTCTGCTACAGGATGAAGTGAATGGAACTGCTTTAGCCAGACTCGCTTTTGAAGGAAACAGTGCGTCGAAATGAGCTATCCCTATCCCATGTTACAGGAATCTGGTTGTCGAAATGAGCTAGCCCTATTCCATTTCACAGGAAGCTGTTTGTCGAAATGAGCTAGCCCTATCCCATGCTACAAGAAGCAGTTTGTCGAAATGAGCTAGCCCTATTCCATGTCACAGGAAGCTGTTTGTCGAAATGAGTTATCCCTAGCCCATGTTACAAGAAGCTGTTTGTCGAAATGAGCTAGCCCTATCCCATTTCACAGGAAGCTGTTTGTCGAAATGAGCTAGCCCTATCCCATGTTACAAGAAGCTGTTTGTCGAAATGAGCTAGCCCTATCCGATGTTACAAGAAGCTGTTTGTCGAAATGAGCTAGCCCTATCCCATGTTACAAGAAGCTGGTTGTCGAAATGAGCTAGCCCTATCCCATGTCACAGGAAGCTGTTTGTCGAAATGGGCTAGCCCTATCCCATGTTACAGGAAGCTGTTTGTCGAAATGAGCTAGCTCTATCCCATGTTACAAGAAGCTTTTGTCGAAATGAGTTATCCCTAGCCCATGTTACAAGAAGCTGTTTGTCGAAATGAGCTAGCCCTATCCCATTTCACAGGAAGCTGTTTGTCGAAATGAGCTAGCTCTATCCCATGTTACAAGAAGCTGTTTGTCGAAATGAGCTAGCCCTATCCCATGTTACAAGAAGCTGTTTGTCGAAATGAGCTAGCCCTATCCCATGTTACAAGAAGCTGGTTGTCGAAATGAGCTAGCCCTATCCCATGGCAAAGGAAGCTGTTTGTCGAAATGGGCTAGCCCTATCCCATGTTACAGGAAGCTGGTTGTCGAAATTAGTTAGCCCTATCCCATGTCACAGGAAGCTGTTTGTCGAAATGAGCTAGCCCTATGAGCTAGCCCTATCCCATGTTACAGGAAGTTGTTTGTCGGAATGAGCTGGCCCTATGAGCTAGCCCTATCCAATGTCACAGGAAGCTGTTTGTCGGAATGAGCTGGCCCTATGAGCTAGCCCTATCCCATGTCACAGGAAGCTGTTTGTCTAAATGAGCTGGCCCTATCCCATCTTACAGGAAGCTGGTTGTCGAAATGAGCTGGCCCTATCCCATGTTACAAGACGTTTGTCGAAATGAGCTGGCCCTATGAGCTAGCCCTATCCCATGTCACAGGAAGTTGTTTGTCGGAATGAGCTGGCCCTATGAGCTATCCCTATCCCATGTTCCAGGAAGCTGGTTGTCGAAATTAGTTAGCCCTATCCCATGTCACAGGAAGCTGTTTGTCGAAATGAGCTGGTCCTATGAGCTAGCCCTATCCAATGTCACAGGAAGTTGTTTGTCGGAATGAGCTGGCCCTATGAGCTAGCCCTACCCCATGTCACAGGAAGCTGTTTGTCGAAATGAGCTGGCCCTATCCCATGTTACAGGAAGCTGGTTGTCGAAATGAGCTGGCCCTATCCCATGTTACAAGAAGACGTTTGTCGAAATGAGCTGGCCCTATGAGCTAGCCCTATCCCATGTCACAGGAAGCTGTTTGTTGAAATGAGCTGGCCCTATCCCATGTTACAGGAAGCTGTTTGTCGAAATGAGCTAGCCCTATCCCATGTTACAGTACGCTGTTTGTCGAACTGATCTAGCCCTATCCCATGTTACAGGAAGCCGTTTGTCGAAATCATCTAGCCCTATCCCATGTTACAGAAAGCTGTGTGTCTAACGTCTCTGGCTCTACTATCTGTTACAGGATACAGTGAATGGAACTGCTTTAGCACTACTCGCTGTTACAGGACCAAGTGTGTCGAAATGATTTCGGCCTATCCGATGTTACGAGAAAAAGTGTCATGAACTGATCTAGCCCTATTACAGGAAGCTGTGTGTTTACTCTTTAAATTACCATTGAATATTCTCTCTTTATTCCGCCGAAATGAGCTAGCCCTATCCCATGTTACAAGAAGCTGGTTGTCGAAATGAGCTAGCCCTATCCCATGTCAAAGGAAGCTGTTTGTCGAAATGGGCTAGCCCTATCCCATGTTACAGGAAGCTGGTTGTCGAAATTAGTTAGCCCTATCCCATGTCACAGGAAGCTGTTTGTCGAAATGAGCTGGCCCTATGAGCTAGCCCTATCCCATGTTACAGGAAGTTGTTTGTCGGAATGAGCTGGCCCTATGAGCTAGCCCTATCCAATGTCACAGGAAGCTGTTTGTCGGAATGAGCTGGCCCTATGAGCTAGCCCTATCCCATGTCACAGGAAGCTGTTTGTCGAAATGAGCTGGCCCTATCCCATCTTACAGGAAGCTGGTTGTCGAAATGAGCTGGCCCTATCCCATGTTACAAGAAGACGTTTGTCGAAATGAGCTGGCCCTATGAGCTAGCCCTATCCCATGTCACAGGAAGTTGTTTGTCGGAATGAGCTGGCCCTATGAGCTATCCCTATCCCATGTTCCAGGAAGCTGGTTGTCGAAATTAGTTAGCCCTATCCCATGTCACAGGAAGCTGTTTGTCGAAATGAGCTGGCCCTATCCCATGTTACAGGAAGCTGGTTGTCGAAATGAGCTGGCCCTATCCCATGTTACAAGAAGACGTTTGTCGAAATGAGCTGGCCCTATGTCAGCTTGTGTGTTGTTGTACGTCATAGTCAAATCAGCAATACTGCAGCTACACCACAGCGGTTATGAAACCAATCACGCTGGGCTAGATATAATAGCGTATGCCCTAGGCCACAAGTAGGGCTGCACCTGCTCTGTCCGAGTCACTTCGGGGTGCCAGATATTTAATTGGTATTGATATGTAAATCGCCTCACAAACATCTCATATCACAATTGAACATTATACAAATTGACAAACACGACTATCCACAAAACACAGAAGGCAACTGATATTGTACTTTTTCCTTTTGACATGGGTCAGTAACTTCGGATGCAGTATCTAAAGAACTTGACATTCCTGTTGGCAAAGCATTGCATTACTACTTGTATGAAGTATTTGTATTTAATACTTGTACAAAGTACTAATACAAGGTAATTGTATGAATACCTGTATTTAGTATTTGTATCAAATACTTGAAAGAAGTACTTGACAGAAGTACTTGACAGAAGTAACTGTATGAAGTACTAGTACGAAGTAATAGTATGAGGTAATTGTATGAAGACCGTGAATGACGTACTTGTATGAATCACTTATATCGAGTATTCGTATGAAGTTCTTGTATGAAGCACTTGCATAAAGTACTTGTATAAAGTAATTTAATGACTTGATTATCTAATGTAATTGCATGAAATACTTACATAAAGTTCTTGTACGAAGTACTTGTATGAAATTCTTGTATGAAATAATTATATGAAGCAGTTGTATAAAGTAAGTGTATGAAGTAATTGTATGAAGTAATTATATGAAGCAGTTGTATAAAGAAATTGTATGAAGCAATTGTATGAAGTAATTTTATTAAGCAGTTGTATAAAGTAATTGTATTAAGCGAGTGTGTGAAGTAATTGTATGATACAGTTGTATAAAGTAAGCTTATGAAGCAGTTGTATAAAGTTATTGTATGAAGCAGTTGTATAAAGTTATTGTATGAAGCAGTTGTATCAAGTAACTGCATGAAGTAATTGTATGAAGTAATTATATGAAGCAGTTGTATGAATTACTTGTATAAAGTAATTGTATGAAGTATTTGTATGGAGTAATCATATGAGGCAGTTGTATAAAAGTACTTGTATGAAGTAATTGCATAAAGCTGAAGTAGGAAATAATCGTATGAAGCACTTGTATGAAGTACTTGTATCAAGTATTGTATGAAGAACGTGTATGAAGTAATTGTATGAAGTAATTTATAAAGTATGTGTATGAAATACATTAAATAATAAAGTATTTGTATAAAGATATTGCATGAAGTACTTGTATGAAGTACTTGTATGAAGTAATTGTATGAAGTACTTGTATGGAGTACCTGTACGAAGTAATTGTATGAAGTAATTGTATGAAGTACTTGTATGAAGAATTTGTATGAAGTACTTGTATGAAGTACTTGTATGAAGTACTTGTATGAAGAATTTGTATGAAGTACTTGTATGAAGTACTTGTATGAAGTACTTGTATGAAGTAATTGTATGACGGAGTTATATGAAGTACTTGTATGAAGTAGTTGTATGAAGGAGTTTTATAATTAAGTACTTGTATGAAGTATTGGTATCAAGGTTTCTCTTCCGTCTCTTTAAGCATGTCGTGATCTCAATTCTACTTTGTATAATGACTCATTGTGAGTGTACGATATTGTACTTATATTGTAACCTTCTAAGAGGAATCTGTTACGTACACTGCCAGGCAACACTAACATTGATGTACTCATCTCCGTGACGCTATAGTATATACTCACTTCAGATGACTGAGCAACTTGTTGTAGTCTTCATCTGAGATCTGCCCTCCGTCACGCCTTTGTTTCAGCAACCTCAGCCGATCTGTTGAAGGAGAACGCTCGTTACATGGTAGTGTTTGGGTGTTTGGGACGAATTGATTTCAACCCATATATATAATCTGCCACCGTACAAATGCTTCAAAAGCCGGTTACTTCCTTTTTAGAACTTATTCTTTCGAGGACAATAGAACATATATCAATGTGTTGTGGGTATGAGGGAGTAAGTGAGTGATTGAGTGAGTGAGTGAGCACTTGACAGGCAAGAATGGATTCTTAAAGCAATGAGCCATCATGTCTTCTTCATACGACGATACACAATCAAGGATGTCAGTCCTCTGTATCGTATATACCTCCTTTTAAAGTGAACTGTTTTCGAAATACCTCGTTGAGTACTGGGGACGTGTGAAAACTCGGGATTCTATTCTGTAGGTGAGGTGAGGTGAAATGGGGTTTAACGTCGCGTCCAAGATTATTGCACTTATATAGCGACGTGCATGTACGTGTGTGTGTTTGTGTGGCTGCTTGTACTAGTCCGGACTGATGCCGATTTATAGTGCTAGCTCACTGAGATACCATGCCGCAGTTTAACATGAATATCCCACACAGACACAGTATACTGACTCCGAGCCGACCAGTCCTTGTTTTAGCCCCTTAATGCCGAGCGCCAGACAGGGTAACAACAAGTACCATCTTTTAACGTCTTTTGGTATGACGCGGCCGGGGATCGAACCCCGGACCTTCCGCTCTCCGGGCGGACGCTCTACCACTAGACCACGGAGGCGGTCTCTATTCTGTAACATCCAAGGAAGTAACTGTGGAGGTCTTGTCAATCGATAATACATACAGAATATATTGACATTATCCAATGCAGTTATGTAACGTCTACATATTAAATACTAGCTACCTTCCATTGTGGCCTCACGCTTGAGCCTCTGATTCTCAAAATGCTGAAATGTAAAAACAAACCAGGTCATAATATTGTCTCCATCAATATGTCGTGCAGTACATGGGACGTATACAAATCACATCGGCAATATTTCATATAAAACAGAGAACAAGACCGCTGAAGATCACATATAATTCGTCAATATTTGTCAGCAAGTAAATTTGTAAATTTTAGTTAAGTCGGTAAGTTGGTTTGGTAACCATGCGTTGAACAGAATTCAGTTATTTATAAAGCACCTGCCATTATTTCCTATAGTAATGTTGATATGTCAGAGGAGGAGCCGTGCTATCTTCTGACAAACACCTACTAACTCTCCCCAGGAGGAAACTGAGTTTTTTGGCAGGATATCTTTCAGCTTTAGCGCAGCATTTCTCTGGAATGAACTCCCACAAGAAATAAAAGTGACACCATCTTAGGACTATTTGAAGAAATTGAGTACATACCTGTTCCGACAGGTGAGGCGTGAATGCTTATATATTTTCTCCTATTACTATGTAAATATTGCAAATGACGTAATTGTCATTCCTATTATGTCGAGCTGTGAGCATACATTTGATGTATGGAATTTATCTTGTATCTCAGAGTAACCGCGTGACGGCCACCACTTTCAAGTGAGACCTGCTGCTTTACAATTAAATTGTAGGAAACAGCCTATTAATATGCATGTAATGTTGATTTTGGACTACTTAAAAGGAATTTTGATGAAAATTGCATGAATGTTATTCTAACCTGATTATGATAGTAACCCACTGTTTTCCAACTGTAGCACTGGGGTGGCTGATGTAGTTGGATAAAACACTTCTCCTCGGGCAGCAACAGCCTTTCTCTACATCTCTTGTTTACATTTTCAACCAAAATCTCGAGGACGCCTTTATCCTTTACATCGTGTCATCATGATGAGGAAGATTTTTAAGCAAATCATGAACACAACAAATAGCTTTCTCTTTAGCCAATCCTATTACTGAAGTGTGTGAGTAAGTTGGTTGGGTTTAACCCCGGTTTGAACACTAGTCCAGTTGTATCACGGGGTGTCAGCTTCATGTGAGAGGAAAGCCCAAAGTGATGCAGGTCTCAGAGGTTTACCACGAGCACGGGGTTGGTGCTGACAGACCTAGAACCATTACAATAGCCATTCCAAGAATCAAACCAACATTCTGTTAAAACTGTTGTGCATGATAATTATATTTTACCATGCGTGACCTTATTCAAACGTCCTGTGGTATTTATTTGTTTGCGCCTTAACGTGCACTCGTAAATGGTGACCAACGCGTTATTCTGGGACAAGCTGAATAGCGACTGGTGCCCCTCTCGTGACGATTTTTGCGACTGGGTTCCGTCTAACCCCAAACGGGCACAGCTAATGATTCACGTATATTTCTCCTATATATCATATATATTCAAGATGCTATTGGAAACACATCGGGACTTCAAATTATTATTGTTCACTTACAACATTCATCGATAGGGAGACGAGTTTTCTTGCAGGTTACGGAACGGGGCGAGCTGTGACGAATGTGCATCTACAAGCTGCACGTGAATAATCGAGTATGGGTCAGACAAACCATTGCGCAACGGCGATTAGGTTATTGGGGACCTATTACAACCCGGACCTGTAGTAACTATTCACATTGTAACGTATTCATATCGAGACATCAGGCTGCACAATTACTGCTACAATCCTACAAAAATTCCGATTCACTGACCAAGTCGGACTCAACTTACGGTCCACTGTACATTGTGTTCCTAAAGAATATAATACACGAGTGTAGACTTTCCCTGCTTACAGTGATTCACACACGACTCAAACAAGTGAGGACGGAAGAGTATGACAAAACCCTGTCCATATATCTCTGTCAAAAACAGTCTATTTTACGATTCCAACGACATCACAAGGATGTTATGTATCACTATCAAATAGTGAAGATACCAGGTGTTGGCGAAAAGGTACGCTGATCCTGCCCCACCGATGGTACCCGCCAAACACATGCAAGGGCAAGTCAATTGTTTACCTGGAAAACCATGGGAAGTCATCCCTTCTGTCACACATGCTTGCGGATAGTTGTTTGTCACTTTGGATATTTATGCACAGATCTAAACGTCAAACAGATTAGGCGATTGTTTTTTGTTTGTTTGTTTGTTGTTTAACGCCGCACTCAGTAATATTCCAGCTATATGACGGCGGTCTGTAAATAATCGAGTCTGGACGAGACCATCCAGTGATTGAAATCATGAGCATCGATCCACGCAATTGAGATACGATGACGACAAGCATAGTCGCATTTTACAGCAAGCATGAGTTGCTGAAAACCTATTCTACCCCGCATCTTGAGACAAACAATGCTGACATTACATTCCATGGGTCATTTTTTATTCAAAGTCATATGAAAATATAACTTTGTCTTTGTGTTGTTCAGCATCCAACTCAGCAATATTCAGCTATACGACAGCGGTTTGTAAATAGTCTAGTCTGGACCAGAAAATCCAGTGATTGATATTGTTTTCACGTGGTTGGGGTACAATAACATTCAATCATCCAGCCTGACCACCCGATCAATTTGGTCGCCTCTTTCGACCAGCACAGGTGAAAACATTTCAACACACCAAAGACAAAAACATTGTATGATTCCACATCGTTTGTTTCTTTCTAAATCCTGCCTGCTTACCTCTCCCTTTTCAGCTGCTTTTTGAAACTTTTCAGCTCTGGCAAGCATGAACATAGACACCAATATGCCGACACACAGACAGACACGAAGGCTGGCCATTTTGTCTGTTGGTAGATATTGGGGGTAAACCGTGGAGGTAAACAATGTAGGTAAACAAGTGAAGTAGGCAATGGGATAAACAATGGAGTAAACAACTGAGGTCAACAATAAATTAAAGTAAACAATGGATCTAAGCAATGGAGTTACAATATCAAAATGACCCTTTCCAGTATAAAAAATAACAATATGTATTAAAAACGTCAGGCTCCATGTGTATTTCTTAGGGCATTTGTATATACATCATACATACAATCTGTAAACATTTAACATACTTTCAAGAACGCATTCATGACATTGATGACATCGGGTATGTTAAGTGTAGAAAAGCCTTTTTCAGCCTAATTGCATACCGCCATCAAATCAATCGTCAAAGAAAGGAGATTTGATAGATGTGATTCTGTAAAAAGAGTTTAAAATAAGAACACGGCAAACTGAATAAACAATAAAACAATATTTTGTTTCAAAATCTTAATAGTTGTAAAGAACCGTGTATTTTTCTGTTCAGATCACATTCCTACTGTAGATTACTCGAACGGTTACACATCTATTGGACACAAGAGTGAGTTAGTATGGTTTTACGCGCTTTTAGCAATATTCAAGCAATATCACGGCAGGTGACACCAGAAATTGGCTTCACACATTGTACCCATGTTGGGAACCAAACCCGGGTCTTCGGCGTGACGAGCGAACGCTTTAACCACCAGGCTACCCGACCGCCCCAGGACACAAGAACTAACAGGCAGTCAGGTACTGACTGAGAAGAAGACGGAGTTGAGTAAAGATGCGTGACACGAGATGCTTTATATTCATCACATGACAACACCTTGCAGCTTCATCAAACGATTTCTGAATCAATATCTAATCAAAAGTCCGTGCACGATCGATTTATGCAATCAAGTCAAATTTAAGACAATGTGAATATGTATGAATCTATTGAAACATCTGCTACAAATGACAAATTGAAGTAGTTGGTTGGTTGGTTGTTGTTTAACGCCGCACTCAGCAATATTCCAGCTATATGACGGCGGTCTGTAAATAATCGAATCTGGACCAGACAATCCAGTGATTGACAACATGTGCTTCGATCCACGCAATTGGGATCGATGGCATGCATCAACCAAGTCAGCGAGCCTGACCACCCGATCCCATTAGTCGCCTTTTACGACAAGCATAGTCACCTTTTACGGCAAGCATGGGTTGCTGAAGACCTATTCTAACCCGGACCTTCACGGGTCTGAAGTAAAGCATACTGTGATATACAAAATAGTTGAGACATACAAGGTGTGAGAGATATTCAGTATATGTGAGATATGCATATGTGTGAGATATACAGAATATGTTAGACATACAAACTATGTGAGACATACACTATATGTGACATATACAATATATACAATATATATGATATATTCATAATATGTGAGATATTCAATATATGTGAGATATACAAAATATATGAGAAAAACAATATATTTTATATATGCAATCTATTTGAGATATACAGAATATGCCAGAAAAACAAACCATGTGAGGCATACAGTATGTGAGATCTACGATATATGTATGATATATTCAATATATATGTGAGATATACAATATATGTGAGATATACAAAATATATGAGAAAAACAATATATTTTATATATGCAATCTATTTGAGATATACAGAATATGCTAGATATACAAACCATGTGAGACATACAGTATGTGAGATCTACAATATATGTATGATATATTCAATATATGTGAGATATTTAATATATGTGAAATATTCCATGTAAGATATAACTATGCCAACAAGAAGTAGGAACAGGCAAGGGCTCGAACTCAACTGCCCAAGAAGGTAAACACTTGAAAATTGGATTTGATCGAAAGATTATAAACGTTATCAAGAGGGTACTATGCTGCAAACACCCGCCAAAACACTTTCCAGAGCTAAAAAACAACTATGATACCTTATAAAACCGGAACACCATCGAATAACCATTTCCTTGATTTTCTTATTTTCAGCCGCCATCACACAGGGCGGCTAGACCTTGACCAGTTGTTTGTTATAATCTGACCGGTACGAGACAGAGGATTGTAGATGCACACACACACATTTCCTATGTTGTTGTAATGATAACATATAATAAATGATAATGATAAATAATAAAAAATAACAATAGATAAACGTTAATGTGGATTCCGTCACATGAGCACTAATGGCAACGTCTCCGGTTTCCCATAAATTTACATATTGTAAGTCGTTTTTCATGGCAGAGCTGACAATTCTTAAGATTAAAAATGATATTCACACAACTCGACATCTTGTCTTCTCTTGTCGCTGATGTCAATATCTGAGATTATTAATCAGGACTGAAAAAGGCGTTTTTGATACTACCCTCCATCAATAAGAGTCATGTCATGAGTTTTCGTTAAATCAGATAGAACCGTCTTCAATATTGAACAATTATACTCTTCAGACAAAGAAACGGAAAAGTAGTAGAAATAATGTTGCCGTCGTCCATACAAAATTAATACCAAAAATGAATTTGTCATTTCAACATGGATTGGGATTGATTTGTGTGGAAAGAATGAGGTACTGCAATTTTTTTGTTAAAATGTTGAAAAATCACAAAACCACGTGAGAACCTGGCGCCGAAACACACCAGCATGACATGCACGTGCAGCATTACCTGTTGGGCTATAAAAACGTTGGGTTTTCATTTGCATGCCATCACAATCATGCAGCAGTGAACTGCACATACATGCCACGACTGACGAAAGCCCAACGCAACAACGACATCGACTGTAGCCATGTTTTTCCACGTAGCCTCAAGCACCATTACCCATTACAAGACCGTGGAATCGTTATCAGACACACGGAACAACACTTGAGCTGCCCAGATCCGGTCGACCACGTATCATTAATAGAACACAGGACAAATTCATAGTTGCGGCTACGTCACTTACGTGAAAGAACCACCACGGCCACCTCTACGACCACGGCAATGCTAGGATTGCGTAGGATGTGAGGAATCGTTTACTCACTGAAGGTATTCACTCTAGACGAACAGTTCGATGTGTCATTTTGACGGACATGCATCGTCAGCTGGGTTGTCAATGGTGTCAAGTTCGCAGAGTATGATTACAACTGGAGAAAGCTTGGTTTAGTCGCATTCGCCGTGCGGATGGTAGACGCCGTGTTTACAGGCGTCAGTGGGGACGTTATGCACGAAACTGCACGCAGGAAGTGGACCAATTTGGTGGTGGTAGTGTGTTGATGTGGGTGTCCATCTCCTACACTAGTAGAACAGACTTGGTGCAAGTTCTTGGGAATTAAACGACACAACGTCACCCGGAAGAGTTTCTTCGGCCACACGTCCTTTCCATTATGCAACAAGCGAATGTCATTTTCCCCAAAGACAACGCCCGACCTCACACGGCAAGACTGACAACAGCCTTTGTCAGGAATCCCAACATCTAGGTCCTGCCATGGTCCTCTAGGTCTTCCAGATTTAAACTCAGTCGAAGTTGTGGGATGCACTGGATCAACGACTGCGAACATTTCCTTGGACACAACTCGGTATCTGATTTCTTCCATAGTACGACGATGCCTGTCAGTTTTGGAATCTTATGGTGGCCATACAAGGTACTGAGAACGGATAACCTTCACCTTGAACATCTACTGTTCCATGTGGGTCAATGACAATGATGTGTGCCAATTTTGAACAATCGATCACCACCTGTTGATTTTATATATTATATATTAACATAACTCTGAAATCACTATTGCGTTTGTTTGTTTTTTGCAGATAAGGTGACGTATTTTATCTGGGCATTATCATTTGCAGAAGGCGACGAAGAGTGGCAGTTGCAAAGTCTGATGGTTTCTGCAAATAATAATGCCCTGAAAAATAACGTTACCTTTATCATAGCTAGGATGGCATGACTTTGTAGTTAATCCCACAACAGTTAAAAAACAGGCAGTAGCATAGAAAAAAAACTCCCATTGACATGTAGCAACATTGAACATAATAATAGAACAAATAAGAAACGTGACGTCAATGACGCCTCATTAGAACAAAACAGGCAGCAGACGGTCGTTAGGGAAAATGCGGGCCGTTTTCTGGTAATACAGGTTTTCCATTAGCTGATCGTGGTGGAGGGACAAAATCAATTAATTTTACCGACCGCCAAGGCATGTCTTAACAGAGAAACGACGTGACACATGCGTGGTTTAATTACCTTGTGACATGCTGTTCAATGTTGTTTAGGTAGCAAGAGTCTAAAACTTTCCATTGTTGACGATGTGACTGCGTTGTATTGCCATGGTTTTCATGGATATTGTGTATGATAGTAAGTTAACGCGTCGGCTCTCAATATATAAAAGGTGTGTGTGAAGTGAGTTGGGTTTAACGCCGCTTTTAACAGCATCCTAGTTATATCACGGCGTGTTAGCTTAATGGTTTCCACTTCGGTGAAACCCACAGACAGACAGACAGTTTATTCAGTGGAAAGGCCATAGGCTCATAACACAGACAATGTTTGATTGCAGGAACTACGTATGACAATGAAGTAATCGATTTAAGTTTCGCTTAGCGTTGGACTTTATATAACTATAAACATGTGTTATATACAACATCAAAGTTTTTTTGAAGAAATAATTTCTGTTACAGTTATAGACTTCATATACTGTTTAAGATACATACTTCTTAGGGCTGAATAACGCTCACATACAAGCAAAACATGAAATCCTTCTTCACTAAAAGATCTACCATTTTCTATACAATATGTACATAATCTTCAGTGTGTGAGACATTGGTGTATCTATCCAAATCAACTGCAAGTTTAGACCTGCTACATCCAAAACGAGTCATACATATTCTCAGATGTACTGGTATACGGAGTGTAAGATATTTTTCTACATTTAACAGGGATTTAAAATGTTTACAATAAAAGGTACCAGATATACTATTGATAGAACTATACCATGAATGTTGAAGGTTATCCGATAATCTTTGTTTAAAAAGATGAATAATAATATCTTCACATTGCCAACATCTTTTGTTAAGCATACATATCCAAATCCTCATTTAAACAAAATATTCTTAATGTGATTAGCCCATGTGGTGCGACCAGAATGGTCCAGTGATTTGATCATTAAATCGCGTTGGCGAGGCAGTCTGTGCTCGTCCAAACGCTGTAGCCTGCACCAATACTTGATGGCCCTTGCGGTACATACAAGTTGGAGAGCTCTCCTAAAACCATAGCATTGTTTGTTGTTTTACCTGTATTTAGAAACCATTTACCCATTTTGTTCTGTACATTTTCAATAATTTTATAATATGAGATACCCCACAGTTCTGCACCGTAACAGACAATAGGCACAATCATAGCATCAAACATCTTAAATAAATCTTGACCGGGTATACTACCAACTTTCTTTTGATATCTATATAATGTCATAATGGCCTTGTTACTCTGTGCAGCAAGAGTATTTAGTGCCTTAATCCAAACAAGTTTGGGCGTGAACACAATACCCACATATCTATAAAACGACTATGTTTCAATATATACACTATTAACTTTCTATTTTTCATAATGCCTTAGGGGTCCGCAATTTCTGAATACCATAACTTTAGTTACTTCATACCTGTGGTATTGCAAAAATGTTCCAAGGCATTGATCTTCTTTTGTAAATCAAAAGGTGTATCAGCAAAAGATGAGACGTCATCAGCAAACATTAGTGTTTATATTGCTGGACAGTCTTTAGTGATAAAGATGGTTTGTCCTCAATATTTTTACATAAAATTTACAAGTTTATTTATAAATATTAAAAACATCTGTGGGCTGAGGCTGCATCCTTGACGGGTACCTATATTACACTTAAAGTATTTGGATAACATTATCAAACGCTTTTGAGAAATCTACAAATAAACAGAAAAACCTTCCTTTCTTTTTACAGGCATACTTTTGGATAATGGCCTGCAATGAAAATATATGATCTGTCGTGGAATAGTTGGGTCTAAATCCTGCTTAAGATTCGTCAATGATATTGTTATCATCACACCACCTCTGTAGTCTAGCATTTAGAATAGATGTAAACACTTTGCATATGGTATCAATGAGTGATATACCTCTATAATTGTTTGCATCATTCATATCACCAGACTAAAACAGAGGACAGATGATACTTTTTCCCAAAACATCTGGAAAGTTACCACTCTCAAAGATTTTGTTAAATATAATAACTAAAATTGGTGTTATTTGTTTTTCTGAAGACTTAAGAAATTCGGCAGCAATACCATCAGACCCAGGGGATGTATTATTCCCAAGCTGGTTTATGTGACTTCATATTTCTTGTGTTAGATTAGGAATGTTAATTGTTAGATCATACTGCTATCATGTGCAAGAAAAGAAGAGACGTAAAATGGTTAGTCCATTGTTCAGTATTAATTGATTGAGTGACTGCATTAAATGGTTTACTAGCCTTGGGCAGTTTCCAGAACAACTTTGGGTTGTCTCTGGCAGCTATCAGTTTTTCTCTCTGTGCTTCAAGAGTTTTTTCTCTCTACCAAAAGCATTTATAAACCTTGATCTTAAGTGACTAAAAAGTGAAAAGTCTTCCCTATGATCTATGTGAGTTCCCAGGGCTTTGTATTTGTCTTGTCTAATCAATTCCAATTCATCATCCCACCAGGAAGGGTGGCAAACCCAGTTTCTGGCGTACCTAAGGGACGCAACTCTGTTTCCATTTGACGGCATGGGTGGCCCAGTCGTCTAAGGAGCCGCGATTCGCTGTGCAGAGTTGCGTCCCTTGGGCACACCAGAAACCTATGATTGTGGGTTCGGATCCCGGTTCGCCCCGATTTTGTTTCTAGGTTTGTTGGCACCATACCCTTGCTCGTGGGTTTCACCGAAGTGGTAAACGTCTGAGACCTGCATCACTTCGGGCTTTCCTCCCACATTAAGCTGACACGCCGTAATATAACTGGAATACTGTTAAAAGTAGCGTTAAACCCAACTCACTCACTCACTCACTGTTCCAATTGGACTTTACAAAGTAGGAAACAAACAGAATAAGGTACGTGTGAGTCTGTGAGTGATCTCGTCCTTGGGCACACTAAGCACACTGACGCTGGTAATATTTGCACCCGGTCCACACAGCCCATTTCGAGTCCGGAACCTCGGTTTTAACAGCTGATGAGAGGTAACACGCGCCGTTCCAGAGTTCGAAGGTCCTGCAGGTGAAGGAGGAGGTGGTCAAGCAGTACTGTCTGCATTCGGTGAAGGTGCTGACGTCGTAAATTGCGTCATTGTAGCCGGTTATGCAGTAGGTGGTTGATTGATGACTGAAGTCGCTGCCGTAGTTGTCGCACCCTGAAGAAGAACATACATCAATGAGTGAGTATAGTTTTACGACGCTTTTAGCAAATATCCAGGAATATCACGTCGCAGACTCCGGCCAGTAGTCGTTGTTTAATCTGAGGAGTAAACGTGGGTTGACACGCAGCGATTTCCGGGGTAATGTTTAAAATAGCGTCAAAACAAACCACAATCTTATGCATATTTAAGGGGTAAAGTCATCCGTTGGAAATCCCGGGGGTACCTAGTACCCCATTATTGTCACAATAGCCGGGAGAGATCGGGTGGCCAAGCAGTGAGTTGGCTGACGCATGTTATCCTATCTCTGTGGCATTGTACGCCCCGCATGCCTTTACTAGTTTGTCCTGTCCATAATCCACGTACTTTAGCTAGAACACTGCTGTGACGTTAAAAACATGCACACACTCTTTCACGAGAAAGCGTCGAAAATCGAATCCAGTTTGGTGAGCAGTTTGGTAACAGTATTATTTCGGTCACTGCCTCAGCCGAATATTTTTTATTCCGAAGGTGTTTTTTAGGAGTCAATTTATTCCTTTCGTATAATAATGTTTCTAAATGTAGAGAATCGAGTCAGACAATCCTACTCCGGTGGGTCGCGATCACCAAGACCACCTGATACTCATAGTCGCCTTGTTAGACAGGCAATCAACCAAGTCACCAAGCAACACCATCCGATCCATATAGTCGCCTTGTTAGACAGGCAATCAACCATGTCACCAAACTACACCATCCGATCCTTATAGTCGCCTTGTTAGACAGGCAATCAACCATGTCACCAAACAACACCATCCGATCTTCATAGTCACCTTGTTAGACAGGCAATCAACCATGTCACCAAACAACACCATCCGATCCTCATAGTCGCCTTGTTAGGCAGGCAATCAACCATGTCACCAAACAACACCATCCGATCTTCATAGTCGCCTTGTTAGACAGGCAATCAACCATGTCACCAAACAACACCATCCGATCTTCATAGTCGCCTTGTTAGACAGGCAATCAACCATGTCACCAAACAACACCATCCGATCCTTGTAGTCGCCTTGTTAGACAGGCAATCAACCATGTCACCAAGCAAGACCACCTGATCCATATATTCGCCTTGTTAGACAGGCAATCAACCATGTCACCAAACATCACCACCCGATCTTCATAGTCACCTTGTTAGACAGGCAATCAACCATGTCACCAAACAACACCATCCGATCCTTATTGTCGCCTTGTTAGACTGGCAATCAACCATGTCACCAAACAACACCATCCGATCCTTATTGTCACCTTGTTAGACAGGCAATCAACCATGTCACCAAACAACACCATCCGATCCTAATTGTCGCCTTGTTACGACAGTCGTAGCGCTAAGGATGTTTGGGACAAAGGCAGCCAGGGCGCCGTTGTACAAAACAACCTTAGCCCTATGACTGTCGTAAGTCTATGTTAAGGTATAGGAGTTACGATCACCTTAGCGCTAAGATCGCTTTGTACAACGGCACCCTGATCTCCATCCATCATCACGACCACATAAACATGCAGAAGAGGTACCTCAGCAGGATCTACCTTTTCATCGATGCAGTGCAAACTTGCCCAATAAACTGTCGTGTCACGTCTCCCGTAACGTTTATCGGATGCTTCTCGATGTGCGGATGTTTCTGTATACACATGTAACTCCAAACCATTTGGCACTACATGACAAACAGGGCGGTTCACTCACACATTGTATTCATACGCGGTCTCTGCAGTTACTTCAGTGAGTGAAATAACGTCTTAAACATATTTCAGAGTGACGTTATATTACAAAGAGATTATTCGCTCCATTTGCTTTATAATCTCAATAACTCATATGAGCTAGGGGCAGTCGGGTAGCCTAGTTGTTAAAGCGTTAGCTCGTCACGCTGAAGACCCGGGTTCGATTCCCGACATGGGTACAATGTGTGAAACCCATTTCTTGTGTCCCCAACCGTGATATTGCTGGAATATTGCTAAAAGCGGCGCAAAACCATACTCACTCACTCACTCACACACTCACTCATATGAGCTAAATATTTTGTATTTCATATCTCAAGACCATTGATATTTTAACATCTTGTTTTCATAATATCAGTTTTAGACAGATAGGATAATGGGTAATGATGTTACTGATGACGCAGGTGTTGGAGGTGCCGTCATAGCTGTAGCCAATGTCACAGTCGCAGAGGCCGGAGGAGCAGATGAAGTTACTACGGATGCAGCCTGAAGCCTGTGTACATGTTTGTCCTGGAACAAAAATAACGATGCTGTAAACTGATGAGGAATTGAGTACATTATCATACCTAAACGCTCCAGCTGTGTACAACTAGACAAAAAATATTCACGTCGTCATGGCAACAGAAATTTACCGATATCAATATCGTAGGTATTTATTGTTTTTGTGTATGTCAAAAGTAACCTCGCTCGGTAGACATGATTGATTTTGTGTTGTTACATAAAACCTACATGCTAGATTCCGTGTGAAGATATTGAAAAGAGCGCTAGTTCAAGATGAGTGAGTGAGTGAGTTGGGTTTAACGCCGTTTTTAACAGTATTCCAGTTATATCGCGGCGTGTCGGCCTAATGTGGGAGGAAAGCCCGAAGTGATGCAGGTCTCGGACGTTTTTGTCTGTACTCATCGTATTAGAGGTTGGTACTGCTGAAACGAATTAAGGAAAGTTCGATTTTTACAAAGATTTATCTAAAACAGTAAACGTTTGTAAACAACGAGTGAGCCAGTTATAGGTCTACATGAAACCATCCAGTATCATTTTTGTTGTATTTTCGCTTCTTTGTCACCATACTGTGTCTTCTACTGATGTTCATTTCCCGCGGATGAACATACATCAGGGTGCTAGTGGTGCTACATTTACGATATGCAATTATTTTAGATTTAAATTGATATTAAAATTAAAAAGTTTTACTTCTTCTCCTGTTTCTTTTTATCTTAGCAAAAGCCGTTTCCCCCCGTTACTATTTGTCCTGTTATTCTGTTAATTTGTTAAGCATCACATTATGACATTCTCATGGTAAATATGGACAATTGTGATGTAAAATTAACAGTTGTTATTGCAGTTCAGTATTTACAATGCCGATATACACGATCAAGTTTATAAAAAACACATAATTACATAACATCTTATTGCATTGATACATTTGTCTCTATTCATGACTGATATTATGTTAGTTGCAGTTCACTGGGAGTTACAGTAGAAATTGTATTTCTGAAGTTGTGGCCGACATAGATGCTGAATACGAATTTCTTCCCGTTAATTTCAAAACAAAATGCAATACAGGAGGAAAATGTTCTTTAGATGACAACACAAAATTGTGAAACGGGGATCAACAGAAGATGGAAACAACAGACGCTACCAGTGATGGTGAAACAGAGTGTTCAATAATTATATCTTCTTGTTTGCCAGAACTGAACCTTATCAGGGTAAAACTACATGTAGCCACCAATTCAGAAATGTAACAAGAGATTGATGCCACTCATCAATTTAAAACTAATATATGCGGATCGTTTCATGCATACCTACTTGCTGTCTCCAAATACTAATGCATGTCGACAATCACCTAATCCCTTTTCAGAGAAGAAGGAGGTCACATGAATATAGGAGAAGCAGAATACTGTAAACCTGTAGGCGGGATCTGAGCCCAACGGGGAGTAATCTGAGCTTTGAGAGGGTGTTTTTGGTCGGGCTGAGGGGAGTAAGCTGAGCCTTGAGAGGGTGTTTTTGGTCGCGCAGAGGGGAGTGACCTGAGCCTTGAGAAGGTGTTTTTGGTCGCGCAGAGGGGAGTAATCTGAGCCTTGAGAGGGTGTTTTTTGTCGCGCAGAGGGGAGTAATCTGAGCCTTGAGAGGGTGTTTTTGGTCGCGCAGAGGGGTGTGTCTGACGTTAGAGGGTGTTTTGGCCGAGCAGAGGGGAGTGACCTGAGCCTTTAGAGGGTGTTTTGGGCCGAGCTAAGGAGAGTAGCCTGAGCCTTGAGAGAATGTTTTGGGCCGAGCAGAGGCGAGTGACCTGAGCCTTGAGAGGGTGTTTTGGGCCGAACTGAGGAGAGTGACATAGGCCTTGGCTCAATTCACGCAAGAGTGAATTGTAAGAGATTCAATTGGGCCTGTTTCACCTGATTGCTCTGATTTTGTTTCTATGTTTGTCAGCACCATACATGTGCTCGTCTTTCTCACCAAAGTGCTTAACATTTAAGACCTGCATCCCTTCAGGCTCACCTCCAATGTGCTATTGGATCCCCTTGGCCGTGTCAGGATCCGCTGACCGTGGGTTTCGCTTATCAGATCGTCCTTTATGTGAACTACAGCTGAGCTCGTTAATTCATCAAATTGGAAAGCTACATCTCTTATGACTCTATTGGAACATTATTTCGTGGAAGACATTTTCCCTTCACTCGATGTCAGCAACTTCAATTTGGTAAACAGTATCACCTTTTGTGTTCCATTTTAACGAAACCAAACTCTCATTACTGTCGTTCAGAAATCAATAACAGAATAAGAAATATTTTCCTTTCAACACAAACAAACAAACAAATTCGCTAAGGGAACAAACTGTTGCAAAGCGTTGTTACTAGTTAATTATAGTCGAACTTTGCATCCTAGTCCAGATCGATACACGTCCTTTGTAGACGAAGACATCCTAAGCATTTTGCACTTTGCTGGAGCTTTGGATATTTGAAATTGATCTTTCTAGCTCTCTCAAAACAAAGACCTGACAACTGAACTCGCTGATCGGAGAATTCCATGCAGTCGCTAACAATAAGGGGGAGTGGGGTGGGGTCGTTATGGAGGGGGGGGGTTGGACCGAGCCCCACTGCAGTCCCCGTTCAATGGATTCTTTCGTTCAAAGCGGACGCATGACTGACCCAAAACGCTGTGTTTACATCGTTATCATTTCAAACGTTTGTTGAACAATTTAAGTCAAACACTTACCTTTGATTCTGCCAAGGATGCAGTTCACTCCGTTCCCTTCATACATATGTTTACAGCGGCACGTGTAAGACCCGTAAGTGTTGGCGCAGCTGGCTTTCGCGTGACAGGCGTTGGAAGTACTACACTCATTGTTGTCTGAAATACAGCCAGTGAACTAATACAGTCAAAACAGTCCACACAGTCAATGCAGCCAATACAGTCAATATAGTCGACAATCAATGCAGTCAATGCTGTCAATACAGGCAATACACCCGATTCAGCGAATACAGCCAAAAGTCAATACAGTCAAAGTAAATACTGTCAATTTCGTCAATACAGCAAATACCGTCAATACTGTCAACACAGCACATACAGTCAATACTGTCAACACAGTCAATACAGTCAATGTAGTCAATACAGCAATTACAGTCAATAAAGTCATTAGAGCAAATACATTCAACAGAGCAAATACATTCAATAGAGCAAATACAGTCAATACAGTCATTACAATCATAACAGCAAATACAGTCAAAACATTCAATGCAGCAAATACAGTTAATACAGTCAATTTAGTCAATACAGTAAATACAGTCAATTTAGTCAATACATAAAATACAGCCAATGCAGCAAAAACAGTCAATACAGCACAAACAGCTAATATAACAATTACAGTCAATATACCAAATATAACAAATACAGTTAATACAGTCAAAATAACAATTACAGCAAAGACAGTCAATATAACGTTTGCAGTCAATATAGCAATTACGGTCAATATAGTCAGTAAAGCAATTAAGTCAATATAGTCATTATAGCAAATACATTCAATACAGCAAATACAGTCAATACATTCAATGCAGCAAAAACAGTCAACTCAGTGAATATATTCATTGCAGGAAATACAGTCAATATGGTCAGTGCAGTCAATATATAAAACGCAGTCAATACAGTCAATACAGACAATATAGTCATTACAGCCAATACAGAAATTGCAACCGATACAGTTAATACAGTCAATACAACAAATACAGTCAATACAGGAAATACAGCCATTACAGCAAATACAGCTAAAATAGTCAATATTGTAAATACAGCAAATGCAGTCAATTTGGTCAAAACAGTCAATATAATGCAACGAATACAGTTCATCCAGCAAATAAAGCCAATACAGTAAATGCAGTCAATACGGCAAATACAGCCAATACAGTAAATGCAGTCAATACGGCAAATACAGCCAATACAGTAAATGCAGTCAATACGGCAAATACAGCCAATACAGTAAATGCAGTCAATACGGCAAATACAGTTAATACAGCCAATACAGTAAATGCAGTCAATACGGCAAATACAGCCAATACAGTAAATGCAGTCAATACGGCAAATACAGCCAATACAGTAAATGCAGTCAATACGGCTAATACAGCTAATACAGCCAATACAGTAAATGCAGTCAATACGGCAAATACAGCCAATACAGTAAATGCAGTCAATACGGCAAATACAGCCAATACAGTAAATGCAGTCAATACGGCAAATACAGCCAATACAGTAAATGCAGTCAATACGGCAAATACAGCCAATACAGTAAATGCAGTCAATACGGCAAATACAGTTAATACAGCCAATACAGTAAATGCAGTCAATACGGCAAATACAGCCAATACAGTAAATGCAGTCAATACGGCAAATACAGCCAATACAGTAAATGCAGTCAATACGGCAAATACAGCCAATACAGTAAATGCAGTCAATACGGCAAATACAGTTAATACAGCCAATACAGTAAATGCAGTCAATACGGCAAATACAGCCAATACAGTAAATGCAGTCAATACGGCAAATACAGCCAATACAGTAAATGCAGTCAATACGGCAAATACAGCCAATACAGTAAATGCAGTCAATACGGCAAATACAGCCAATACAGTAAATGCAGTCAATACGGCAAATACAGTTAATACAGCCAATACAGTAAATGCAGTCAATACGGCAAATACAGCCAATACAGTAAATGCAGTCAATACGGCAAATACAGCCAATACAGTAAATGCAGTCAATACGGCAAATACAGCCAATACAGTAAATGCAGTCAATACGGCAAATACAGCCAATACAGTAAATGCAGTCAATACGGCAAATACAGCCAATACAGTAAATGCAGTCAATACGGCAAATACAGTTAATACAGCCAATACAGTAAATGCAGTCAATACGGCAAATACAGCCAATACAGTAAATGCAGTCAATACGGCAAATACAGCCAATACAGTAAATGCAGTCAATACGGCAAATACAGCCAATACAGTAAATGCAGTCAATACGGCAAATACAGTTAATACAGCCAATACAGTAAATGCAGTCAATACGGCAAATACAGCCAATACAGTAAATGCAGTCAATACGGCAAATACAGCCAATACAGTAAATGCAGTCAATACGGCAATTACAGTTAATACAGCCAATACAGTAAATGCAGTCAATACGGCAAATACAGTTAATACAGCCAATACAGTAAATGCAGTCAATACGGCAAATACAGTGAATATAGTCATTAGAGCAAATGTATTCAATAAAGCAAATATATACATTCAATACATTCATTGCAGAAAATACGGTCAATATTGTCAATATGGTCAGTACAGTCAATACTTCAAATACAGTCAATATAGTCAACACACCAAGTACGATCAATACAGTCAAAACAGTAAATACAGCTAATACAGTCAATATAGTCATTACAGCAAATACATACAATACAGTCAATATAGTCATTACAGCAAATACATACAATACAGTCAAAACACATTGCACAGTCCTTTCAACACAAAACACGATGTCACCAAGACAAAGAAGCAATCCTTTTAACACAAAACACGATGTCAGCAACACAAAGAAGCAATGCTATCAACACAAAATACGATATCAGCAACACAAAGAAGCAATCCTTTCAACACAAAACACGATGTCAGCAACACAAAACACGATGTCACAAACACAAAACACGATATCAGCAACAGAAACCACGATGTCACCAACACAAAACACGATATCAGCAACAGAAACCACGATGTTACCAACACAAAACACGATGTCACCAAAACAAAACACGATGTCACCAACACAAAACACGATGTCACCAACACAAGACACGATATCAGCAACAGAAACCACGATGTTACCAACATAATACACGATGTCACCAACACAAAACACGATGTCAGCAACACAAAACACGATGTCACCAGCACAAAACACGATGTCAGCAACACAAAACACGATGTCACCAGCACAAAACACGATGTCACCAGCACAAAACACGATGTCAGCAACACAAAACACGATGTCACCAGCACAAAACACGATGTCACCAGCACAAAACACGATGTCAGCAACACAAAACACGATGTCACCGAAACACAAAACACGTGGTTATCAATAGAAACCACAATGTCACCAGCACAAAACACGATGTCAGCAACACAAAACACGATGTTACAAACACAAAACACGATGTCAGCAACACAAAACACGATGTCACCAGCACAAAACACGATGTCACCGAAACACAAAACACGATGTCACCAACACAAAACACGATGTCACCAACACAAAACACGATGTCACCAACACAGAGAAGCAATCCTATTATCATAGCGTCGAGATGCGTAATATTTTCTTCAATATTTTATTAATAATTTTGACGTTATACGATAGGACTTATCAAAATATTTTTTGGATACTACTTACTAAATTTGTACTAAAAGTCTATCCCAGGCGGCGTTGATATACGCCTGCCTTCATCCCCAAGTTTTAATCGATTAGCGTCATGTGCTTCATGCCTGTTCCGCCCGAAGTCTTACAATCAGTCGGTGTTTCCATACACCTTCCTTCATTCCAAAGTTTTAGTTGATAAGCGTGTATGTGCTAAGCGTTAATACTACATGAATGTAGAAGACAGAAGTAAACATTACAAATACGCATGTGTTTCAAAACCTCGAGTTAATCTCTAAACTCAGCTAGTTGGCACGGTAGATTAGAAACATGTACGTATTGTGCAAATAAGTGATAATTGAACATGTGACCATTTTATGACCGCTAACAGCATCGGTGGTTTAAAGAACGGCTTTTGTTCGGGGTACTTTATTGATGAGATACACCGAATAAAGACTGGTCGCTAACAGATGCTTCTCTGGGTATTTTAAGGATAGACATGTTCACTCTATATAGTGTATGTTCTTAAACTGTATTCCTATGTTGACAGATTGCATGGTGAGGTGAGGTGAGATGAAATGGGGTTTAACGTTATTGCACTTATATAGCGACGTGCATGCACATGTATATATGTGGCTGCTTGTACTAGCCCGGACTGATGCCGATTTATAGTGCTAGCTCACTGAGATACCATGCCGCAGTTTAACCTGAATACCCCACTCAGACACAGTAACTGACTCCAAGCCGACCAGTCCTTGTTTTAGCCCCATAATGCCGAGCGCCAGACAGGGTAACAACAAGTACCATCTTTTAACGTCTTTTGGTATGACGCGGTTGGGGATCGAACCCCGGAACTTCCGCTCTCCGAGTAGACGCTCTACCACTAGACCACGGAGGCGGTCAGATTGCATGGTAATGGAGACGGTAGAGTTGACCTAAAGACGCAGAAACATACATGCCTTGATGACCACGGGCTTATATACACAAAGAAACAAGTTAAGCACACCCCTTTTTCTGAAACATGACAAATGGCAAGAAACATGGCATTGGATGACAGACCACAGGAGCTGGGCGATACCAATGTCATCGGATAGAACAAATATTTGACAGAAATTAAAGAAGATATTGGTGAGTTGTGGTAGAAATCTACTGACAAAAACATCATGGTAACACAGGTACTGTTTTCGAACTTAGACAATACTTCAAAAAGTATAGAGCTGCATGATTAAGTAAACGAGTTACGTTTGATGTTTCACGTGAAAATGTTCCTTAAAGTCTCTACTTGAGTGAGTGAGTGAGTGAGTGAGTAGAGTTTTACGCCGCTTTAAACATTATTCCAGTTATATCACGGCGTGTCAGCTTAATGTGGGAGGAAAGGCCGAAGTGATGCAGGTCTCAGACGGTTACCACTTCGGTGAAACCAACGAGCACGGGTATGGTGCTGACAAACCTAGAAACATAATCAGGGCGAACCGGGATTCGAACCAACAATCATAGGTTTCTTGCGTGCCCAATGGGCGCCAACTCTGCACAGCGAATCGCGGCGCCTTATACGACTGGGCCACCGAGTACCAAAGACATCAACAAAGGGTATAATAATATTTTCATAGTTTCTGGTTGTATTTGAATAGCCCAATCATAATTAAGTAACATATGTTCGGCAACTTCATTAAAATGAATCAGAAGAGAGAAAGGCTTACCACAAAGGCTCACTGGTAAAAGTTTATGATTATATACCATTATTTGACGTTTATTTGTTTCATATTGTTTAACGCCGCACTAAGCAATATTCCAGCTATATAAGGCGGCCTGTAAATAACCGAGTCTGGACCAGACAATCCAGTGATGGACATCATGAGCATCGACCCACGCAATTGGGTTACGATGACATGCATCATCTGAGAGAACGAGCCTGACTACCCGATCCCTTTAGTCGCATCTTACGACAAGCATAGTCGCCTTTTATGGGATGCATTGGTTGCTCCATTATCAGTAATACTTGATTTTACATCTTGATACTTATTACATAATAATTGTTCCATTTTGTTGGTCATCATTTGAAAATGAAATTAGGAATAGAAAATTGAATTCTACATACTGAAACAGTTGCTTTAGATCAGTCCACAAAAAATCATTCGATTTTCAACGTTTACACTGTGTTTATATAACAGCCTGAAAAAAATAATAAACCTGTCATTCGCGTTGAAAAAAAGAGCTTTGACCATTTACTTCAATCATCATTTTAAAAAAAACCAAACTTTCTAATGTTCTCAATCAGATATCAAAGTTTATTGCCTCGTGCATTTCCTGCCCAAATCTACGAAACGAGTTGTGTTTTTGCTAAGTCTGGACCAGACAATCCATGATCATATTGTGAGCAAGTTGTCATTTGTTTGTTTAATGCCGCACACGACAGCAATTATATGGTGAAAGAAAATCAATTGATCAAAATTTTGAGCAATGGTCGGTATGAGGACACACAATCAAACAGGAAAGTAAGCCTGACCACCCAATCCGTTAGCACAGGCTGCTGAAGTCCTCCTCTGACCCGGAAGCCTCACGGGGTTAAGTTTCCATTTAGTAAATTCATATATTTCTTCTTTTATTCATAGTGGAAACATTTTCATTGTTAAATTTATTTGACGACCCTTTTATTTGTTTCCGTTGCTTCTGTCGATCATATAATTACGGAATAACCCTTAAGTTACATGGAATGTCGTATTCTACCTTTTCCAGAAAGAAATCAACATTCACGAGCTTTCGCGTTCATATCACGGGGGGCATTTAATCCGTAATTCAGGGTGTCGAATTGGTTATTTTTGTTATTACCAAAATTTAGTCGTTGTGGTTATCTTTTACAAACCGCGCCAGTTTTCGCCAAATGAAAGAAATATGATCCTTTACCTATTGATAAGCAACCATTCGCGAGTAAAACGTCATCTCTTATGCCCCGCATACCTTTTTACTGACGCTTTGTGTGAGTTCGGACCTGTGAAGATCCGGGGTGGAATAGGTCTTCAGCAACACATGCTTGTCTCCCCCCGTGAAGCTCCGGGGTAGAAAGGGTATTCAGCAACCCATAGTTGCCGTAAAGGGCGACTATGCTTGTCGTAAAAGGCGACTAACGGGATCGGGTGGTCAGGCTCGCTGTCTTGGTTGATGCATGTCATCGATCCCAATTGCGTGGATCGATGCTCATGATATTAATCACTGGATTGTCTGGTCCAGACTCGATTATTTATAGACCGCCGTCATATAGCTGGAATATTGCTGAGTGCGGCGTTAAACACACCAACCAACAATTGCGTGGATCGATGCTCATGATATTAATCACTGGATTGTCTGGTTCAGACTCGATTATTTACAGACCGCCGTCATATAGCTGGAATATTGCTGAGTGCGGCGTTAAACAACAAATCAAATCAAACCTTGTAGGAGTTCGATGAGCAAAAGACTTCGACATAAAGCAATCGTGGACTAATACTCTCTCGAAACGTCAACAGCTACCAACAACTAAATTTCTCTATTTTCAGACTTGAAAACTTTTAATTATTGGTAGACATTTTCGTGTAAAATATTTAACTCAACCGATGGTTTGACATGAAACAATTTCCGGTTGATAAAACACCGGTGCTGACGCAAGGTATATCCATTGTCCCGACAAATTAAAAATGTTCGCTCGGGTTGACACCTATTGAAGAAGATGTATTGATGTAAATGACAGGGGATTCATCTTTTGTTGGCGAAGGTGGGGTCTGTTTTGCTCGACTGGGAGTCGGTCTCCCCGGGTCGTGCACCCGGTACCAAAAAAGCACCATTGGTTTTTTTAATGGTTTCCCCATAGATGTTTCAAACCTCTGAGTCGTTCCTCTAGACTGGCCAAGCAACTTGTCAACGTTTACTTTGTGTCTTATTATTTAGTCAATGCTTTTTTACAACTAATTACTTCATTCCGCGAAAACAAGGGATTCCTTTCAGTAACCTACAATTATATCTCCTACAGTGGGTCCCTCACATTTCCCATCCTCTCATTGTCATGCTACCGCATATTGTTCCGTGAAAATGACCTTTTTCAACTGTGAATTAAGATGTCAAAAATATAACCATTATCACCCCAATCATCTTAGCTTTAACATCCTTTAACTCGTATTTACTACAGTGCTACGGATTGCAAAATATGGTGAGATAAGTAAATTGGCTACCGCGCTTTTTCACCTTTTTCTGCCAGGTTTTTCAAGCGAACGACGGTGAATTTGGGGTGGTCAGGCTCGCTGACTTGGTTGATGCATGTCATCGATCCCAATTTCGTGGATCGATGCTCGTGATATTAATCACTGGATTGTCTGGTCCTGAATGGATTATTTACAGACCGCCGTCATATAGCTGGAATATTGCTGAGTGCGGCGCTAAACAACCAACCAACCGAAGAACGTGAGCGGGCCGTGGGCATGATACAGATGGGAGCCACCCATGCCCACATTACTACAACTTTTGGTTGCTCCGGTGTTGTTGTAACCAACTTGATGGGGCAGACATCTGACAGGCCGAGAACAACCAGACCTAGGGTACCTACGCCCAGTGAAGACCGGTACTTGCGTACCTTGCATCTCCGGATTCGATTCTTGACAGGGACTTCATCAGCGACGAATGCCTTAGTCGACAGACAGTGACCATGCAGGCAACTCGGGGTTAAAGGAATCAGGACTTACAGACCTTACAGGCGCAGTTATCGACAGCGAAACATCGTTATTTGGAGATTGAGGTGGGCCCCAGACTGTACGTCTTTGGCAGCCATGTGAATCGTGAATGAGAAGGATGAAAGCCGGTTCTGTCTGTTCATGGCTGATGAAAGACAGGGTGTTTACCGTTATGGTGTGTGTGTGTGTGTGTGTGTGTGTGTGTGTGTGTGTGTGTGTGTGCGTGCGTGTATGAGGGGGGTTATGGGTAGGAAAGAACACCACTGGTCATCGTTAACGGAAATGTGACAGCTCAGCGTCACATGGTTGAAATTCTTTGTCCGATTGTCCTACCATTTCTACAACAGTTGCCACGTCGTGTCATTTATCAGTATGACAACGCCAGAACCCATACAGCCCGAATCATACGGAACTTCCTTCCTATATTATTTTCTTACCCTGCATTATTTAAATTATCAAATACTTCGACCAATGTCGTATGATTAACCTGATATGTCGCGGCATGTACTCAAGCAGTGTGCAATTCTCTCGAAAATATGACCGGAATTACAAGCGTGTAGCACAGCAACTTCGTAGCTAACATGAAATGGGCAAAGCAAGCCTTGCATGGTTTTGTTCAAAGCCGCAAACCAACCAACCAAATCAAAGCCGCAAAATATATGACGTCACAGTCGTTTTTACAAAAGTGCCCTATTCACTCTGATGTAACCAAAACTAGAAATACTATCTCTTTGTAGAATTATGTTCTATAGTGTTTTCTGCAAAACATGTTCAGCGACACATCTTTTGAATATTTTTATAACCGCACATTTTTGTAACGGTAACCTATAATGGTACATATCTTCATTTATAATGCCAACCGCTAATGACTGAAATAGAAGTACAATTCTATAAATATTAGCTTCTGCGGTGAAATAGTATGTTTCAATCAGAGGAGGTTGATTGAGAAAACCTCTGATTGATCATTCAAACTGGAGTGACATCCAAATTCATGGCAGAAAATATTCATTCCCTGCGTAGTTTACTTAGAACAGGAAAAAAAACACTTACCTGTGCATGTCTTTCCGTTGCCATTGAAACCTGGTTTACACGCGCACGAGTAGGACGCGACAATGTTGGTGCAGTCTGCATTTGTGGCACAGTCGTTGGATCCCGTGATACACTCGTTCACGTCTGAAAACAAGCAATGGATGAATGTTGCGGTGCACTGCAGTCAGCTATCTAACGACGGCCTGTCAATAAAAATAATCGAGTCTAGTTCTTGACTAGACCAGAAAATGTCTCAATGAGCAACGAAGAATTTCAATTCGCGATGCCTCTCAATCATTCACAGACATGGCAACCACTCAATCCATGTTATTCACCACTACGGCAAGTAGGAAGCACTGATACTTACTACACAGTGAAAGGGTAAAGTCTCACGTCATATTAAATATTATTATAATGTCTCAAAAGGTATCATTTTTTTCATATTACATCATGGAATACATCATAATAAAATACAAATTATTGCTTTTTGAATGTTATTTGGGCGATGTAGCAAGCATAGTAAACTGAAGGTCAAAAGAATTAATACACTCATGTTTGAAATGGTTACTAGTATTCGATGGTGATGTCTTTCATATGGGTATCAAAGTTGAGTCTTGGACCTTCAGTTTGCAGTGGTCAAATCCAACTTCCAAGTGTGTATTTGTCCAGTGGTCCTTTATTGCACAATAGGAAGTCGGTGCGATGATACCACACACCAGACATTTCAAGAATATAATTATGATAGCATACTAGTACAGTGAAGTCTATGTACAACAGTAAAGCACAGTACCTGTACATGTCTTTCCGTCACCGTTAAAGCCTGGTTTACACGCACAAGAGTAGGAACCCACACTGTTAGTGCAGTCTGCATTGGAGTCACAGGTGTTGGATCCCGTTGTACACTCGTTCTCGTCTACAAAAAGCAACGAATGAATGTTATTGTACTCCCAGTCAGGTATTGCACAGTAAATGATTGAATCCGGAACAGACCAGAATCAATTATTCACAGACACGGTAACCACCACATCTGTATTTTTCACACAAGTGGCAAGTATGAAGCACTGAAACCAGATGCCCTCAACTTAACATGTCTCTATCAATTTCCTATTGCATAAAATATATTTTATAATGATCCTCTTTTAACACCTTTGACATATTCAATCAATTGTCCGATTACATGATAAAGTTATGAGGAAACAAACAAGAAATGATTATCCGATAGTGATGTATTTGATGCGGATATCATAGTTGAAAACTGGACCTCTAGTTTGCAGTGAGGAGAGCATTGACGATTGACGATTGTCCTGAAACACACAGCGTCTAACCACATGGGTTGTCCCGATAGTACTGCCCAGTAGTCCTTCATTGCACAGTAAGAAGTCGGTGCGGTCGGTCATAGCAATGATACCACACACCAAACATTTCAATAATGTAATTATGATATCATACTAGTATAGTGAAGTCTATGTACAACAGTGAAGCACAGTACCTGTACATGTCTTTCCATCACCGTTAAAGCCTGGTTTACACGCACACGAGTAGGAACCCACACTGTTGGTGCAGTCTGCATTGGAGTCGCAGGTGTTGGATCCCGCTGTACACTCGTTCTTGTCTATAAAAATCAGCAAATGAATGTTATAATACTCCGCAGCTAAAATGTATAATGATCCTCTTTTAAGACGTTTGAATATGTCAATCAATTGTTCGATTACATGAAATTAATCACAAATGAGGAGAGCATTGACGATTGACGATTGTCCTGAAACACACAGCCTTAAACCACATGGGTCGTCCCGATAGAACTGTCCAGTGGTCTTTCATTGCACAGTAAGAAGTCGGTGCGGTCGGTCATAGCGATGCCACCACACACCATAACTGATTCGCTACCATATCTGTCATGAGGTCTAAGGTTGACATAACCATGACAATCATGTCGACGTTGCCAGACACGACTTCTGTCTGTTACCAGCATGCCAATAGCCGGTAGAGGCTTTACACTTTACAAACGTTGCATTGCAAGTTCATACACAAACAATGTAAATCACATCTGTATGAAAAGCAGAATCATTATGATTGACACAATTAATGGTCCACAAAGATTAATCGACCTTCCTTGAAAGTGTCAAACAAAATCAGGAATGACACCCTACGCACGTGCGTGACGCTACTGCGTGAGATACGTGCAAACTATAGTATATGTTTTTGTGTTACGTTTTACAGACTTAAACGTTCTTCATAGGATGTTTGTCTCCAACACTTATCTTTGTTCCAATGCTTAGTATTAACAATTATATTTCATGGACCCCTACTTTTCATTTAGAGAATATAATTACTGCTGTGTATCCTCTGAGTGATACTCCCGAACTTAGCATTTCGTGCCCCAACGGAAATTCTTTTGACCTGATGTTTGTAAATCCATGTTGACTGAAGACTGGCGATGTGGCAGATTTGTGATCCCCTCTGTGTATTGAGATAGGGTTACAAGATAGACACAATTTTATGGATAACAACTTCTTTAATACTGTAAAAAGCGACGTTTTCGGTATAGATCCTTATACCGTTGTCAAGCAAGACAGTCTTGCTTGACAACGGTATAAGGATCTATACCGAAACGTCGCTTTTTACAGTATTAAAGAAGTTGTTATCCATAAAATTGTGTCTATCTTGTCATCCCCCAACTTCTAAGTAATGCCTATCAAACAAGAGGTAGGGTTAGTTGTGTATTAGAAATGACAAGTTACTCTCTGCGCTGCTACCTTTTGTATATTCGCCTGTTAGACATACTCATGCTATGTGAGTCCTGTTCATTGGTTGCGTAATTTTTTCATGCTTTTGCTTGGTTGTTATTGCATAGTGTTAATAAGTCATTAGACTATCAGTTGGTGTATCTGTGCTAATGTACCTTAATGCCTATTTAATGTCTATTTATTTATCGTGTGTGAATTCTTGCTTTTGAGAAATACGAGTCGGCTTCTTTCTGGTGATGAATTGCTCCAGCAGTGTATTCATTAAATTACCACCCTGACAGGATCCTACAGGAGACGGAGCTCTTGCTCCGCATTTAGCCTTCCTTTTTTCAACAACAATGATATGTCAACAACTATGACGTGCCACCAACTATGATATGTCAACAACCATAATAAGTCAAAACTATGATATATCAACAACTATGATATGCTAACAACTATGGTAACCCTTAATTGACAGTCAGAATGTTTGAATCTCGGGTGGCCCACAGTGAGGAGACTTGCCCCCCTTAGGGTTGCCAGACACCTATGAGAGTGGGTTCCAAGCAGGTTCGCCCTGATTATGTTTCCAGGTTTGTCAGCACCATACTATCTTGCTCGCTGCTTTAGTCCCTCATGTCCCAATCTTGCATTTCGTCATTTTATCAACGCCATGCTATATGGGAATATTATTAAAAGCGGTGTTAAACCAATTCACACACTCACTTTCAAGGGATATTCAAGGTGCACTGATTAAAGTATGGAAAGTTGTGAGCTTCAAGTTAAACAATTCGGTTTGACATTGAAATCAAATATTTATTACGATAATGATATTTTGGATAAGTGCTGGATCCGTGTTTGAAGTGTTTAACGTCAAAGACATTTCAATAATATAATTATGATAGCATACTAGTATAGTGAAGTCTATGTAGAACAGTAAAGCACAGTACCTGTACATGTCTTTCCATCACCGTTAAAGCCTGGTTTACACGCACACGAGTAGGAACCCACACTGTTAGTGCAGTCTGCATTGGAGTCACAGGTGTTGGATCCCGCTGTACACTCGTTCTCGTCTACAAAAATCAACGAATGAATGTTATTGTACTCCCAGTGAGGTATTGCACAGTAAATGATGGAGTCCGGAAAAGACCAGATTCAATCATTCACAGGCATGGTAACCACCACATCTGTATTTTTCAACACAAGTGGCAAGTATGAAGCACTGAAACCAGATGCCCTCAACTTAACATGTCTAACAATTTTCTATTGCATAAAAGATACAAAAATCCTCTTTTAACACCTTTGAATATGTCAATCAATTGTCCCATCACATTGAATTAATTGCAAATGCTTATTTCATTGTTTATTGGTGTGTGTAGCAGATAGAGATACACGCACACACGTTAAACCCCATTTCACCTCACCACCTCGTACGACAACCATGAAGGGTATCCTACTCTTTTGTCACATCAGCTCATTTCCTTTTGAAAGTAGATTTTACAAAAGCTGATCAAGGTAGGTTATGAAAGCTACATCGTTTAATGACAATTTTACACTTTTAGCACATATAGTCGAACTCTGTTATTTCGAACCTAACTGGATTGTGTTGTAACTTACAGATATCCGGACATTCGAGATAACGAGGCATAAACTTTAATTAACAGTATTATAAATTCATTTTAATTGAGACCACAACGTGTATTCGATGTCAAATTGAAATCGATTTCGCCAGCAATGGTTAATAACATTTGTGTCAAATTATGTAAAGTGTACATCTACTTTATTAGTCACAGCAGAAATCACTATTTAGTCTGTCGACTTGACAAAAACAACACAGGGACACTCTCGCCTCAAGCTTCTCACCTAGCAGCTTTGGTATTGTGAGCAGTGTCATGCGGCTTTGATTAGTTATGTATAGAACCAGGAAGTGCTGCAATGTTTTACTCAAGTCTGGTCACGATGGGGTTTTTTGTCAATAAGATGACCATCACAATTGGATTCAAAGATAAGTACATAATTTGCTGACAAATTTTACGGCGATGTTAGAGATGTGTGAAGAAAAAAACCTAGATATACTTGCACTTTTAAAAACAGTTAATATTGAAAACTATTGATGTAAACTATGCTATAATATTCCATAACATGCACTGCCTTGTGAGTAGATATCAACAGAAACCAGTCACTGAAACATCCATAGGACGATGTGACTGACGTTACGGTGGAAGTGGTATCACAACTGAAAGTCACATTATCAAAACCGTGTTTGGCCACCGTCTGCATCAATCAGATGAAACGTTATGTTGGCGTTGACGTAAGGGATAACATGCTGAACAAGAATCTCGTCCCTGTAGCGAATCGCATTCAGATTTCTACGAAAAGGAACACGAGCTGTGCGATGACCGGGTGCAATTCCAAAACCATTACAGATCCAGCTCCTCCAAACCTATTTCTCTCAGAAACAGAAGCGTCAGCATGACATTCATTCCTACGTCTGTACACCCGATGTCGACCGTCACCTCTGGAGAGTGAAGAACAGGATTTGTCACCACAGAGCACTCCCTGCCATTCACGTCGAGTCCAACGCAGATGTGAACGAGCCCACGCTCGACGTTGACGTCGATGACGTTGGGTAAGAACTTATGGACTCCTGGCGCTCAGACCATATTGTCGCAGCCGACTGAGAACAGTTTGAGCACTGATATCGTTTATTAACTCAAAACGAAAACAGTATATTATATCACACGTATGTGTACCAGTATGACCGGGCAGAAAAGGGTCTAGATTGCTGGGCACTGAAAGTTAAAAATCTGTTATTTTCCTTTGGATATGGTGAAATTTGGAATAGACAATCAGTTTCTTGTATCCATTCATTTATATCCGCTTTTAGAACAAGATGTATTGATATTGATAACCAGTGTCTCTTTGAATCTTTTGACAAATTATCTTCATTATATTTGTATAAAACAATTAAGCTATCAAATGAATATGAAAATTATTTAAGTGTTGTGAAAATTGCTGCATTTAGGATTATTCTCTCACAGTTTCGCACGTCGAGCAGTGATCTTATGGTATCACAGGGTAGAAAGTTAGGTATTCCAAAGTGTGAAAGACTTTGTCCATTTTGTATCATTCCAAGTGTAGAAACAGAATACCATGTTTGTTTAGTTTGTCCGTTTTATGACGATCT